ACGATTGAGCGAGTTATTTTAATGAAGCAATTGACTTTGCATGATTAAACTTCATAAGTAAATGTAATAACGTTATATTTTTTCAAATAATATTATCGGACATTATACTACATCAGATTAATTGGATTTATGTTATTTTTATCTAATTTGATTTACATCTCTCGGCTTTAGTTGTCATCAAAGCATTTACTAATCAATTAAAATGTAAAGATTTAAAACGGAAAAAATATGTTTATATTAAAAAGCGTACTAAAACTATACGAATGAATGTCAAAGATTAGATTAAAGATATCTGTCAGTGCATGTTTAAAATGAAATGAGACAACCGGCAACTAGGTTTCCTTGACAAAAGCCAGGTCTGGCATCTACTCGTATTTCGGTGCTCTGCAATATTTTTTCTTGTCAAGACGGAAGACAGATCATCCCTTGAGACTTGACTTGTTTCCTTCCCGGGTAAAATTTAGAAAAGGGTGCACTTCATCTCATTAAAATAAAACACCTAAAAACGAGTTTCACACATTCCAGAGCCGAAAAAAAGATGCTGCGCGATAGAAAAAAGATAAAAGTCTAAATGTATCCAGTGACAGAAGAAAAGAAAAAATTTGCCATTAATTTTTCGATGCCGACATTGTTTAAAAAAAATTTGTAACAATTTGTTTTTTTTTTGCAGAAAAGATACTTATTCTGCTATTTAAAAAATAAGAACAAAATTTTTGAAAGATATTATTATTACTATAAAAAGTGATGTTTTAATTAAAAAATTATAGTAATAATAATAGTAATATTAAAAATATGATATAATTACTTGCTTTATACATTTTTGTATGATAGAGATAATATCTTCTGGTAAAACATTATTATTATCTAAGTGAGAAATAAAGTGCTACTAAATTTCTTTAATCACAGGTATTCCGTAAAGGACTAATTTATTTGAGATAGGATAGATTTATAAGATAGATTTACTAGGGTAAAGTTTCAGTGTTTGCTTTAGTAACACTTTATTTTCCTGTGATTACATTGATTTATTAGAGGCGCTGTAAAAAAGAGCTGCATCTCGATTATTATTATAAGTTGTGAGATTTAGTCGGAATTAATTAATATCGATCAGAATAATTCATCTCTAAGTGCCGGCGATAAATGCCGCAAGACTCACTGATTCCACTTCGATTAATCGCTAATTGCAGCGATCATCTCTACGAAAGCAACTCGTTCTGACGTCGCCAACTACAGCTTAATAACAGGAACCGATCGTGGAATTTCAGACGGTGGCTGAGCATGGTTATTAAGTATCGAGAGGTTATCCGATCGACCCGATACATAGCAGCCAACTTGGATTCAACAACATTCTTATCCATCGATCAAAGCCTCTGCTTCGTGCAAGTAGAATTGCCATAAATTATCAGTCAAGATTTATGCCGGCCCGCAATGAAAGTATTAAGAAAATGCTATAAATATTGAGCGTAAAAAACTTGAATACAAACTTTATATATTGAATGTTGTGACAATATTTATTGCCGATTAAATATGATTATACACAAGTATATGATAAAAACTAAAATAATATTTTATAAAAGTTTACGCGGTGTTGTATTTTAAAAATTGTATGCTACTGATAATCCAGCGACAAAAAAGTACTAGGAAAAAACATCCCGAAAGACAGGAACGACAAGTGCGATGAGGATATATCAGCGATAAAAAACATATCAGTAATGCCTATATTTTATTTCCGGCAGAGAGAAACTTCGATAACAAACATACAGAAGAGGGCACAAGACTGTAAATTGAATTATGATGGAAAGAAACAAGCATCCGCTCTTGATGATTTGTCCGGAAGCAGTAGCTCGTATTTCATGTTTCAATCAGTTTGTTTAACGTTAAATTAAAGCAGTATGGATTCAATTAGCAGTTAAAAGTTTTTATTTGATAAAAATGAAATTAGATAAGACGATTGAGGAAATTCAACATACATGATTATCTCTACATTATATATAAAGAAACTTTAACATTTTTTGTATTTTAAAAATATATTATTGCCATTTGCCAAAATTTTTAAAGGGCTGATTTTTTTATCAACTTTGAATAAATTTTTTAGTTTCTTTTTTTTATATTTTATTTTTTCCAATATTTTCTAACTCAAAAATTATTAATACGAATACACACAACAAATATTATCTGATAAATTCTTCTGATTTTGAAAATCTCGTGGATAATCTTATGTGATTTATTATTTCATGTCTTATCACATTTCATGAACAGTCAGTTTCTGTCCGTACAATATATCTTCTTATAAATAACGTTCATTTTCAATCTCCTAGAATATTTCAATGCTAATTATACGCCTGCTCTCTTAAATTAAAGCAAAGCCTTTTTCTTCACGCCCACCGCCAGTTAATCGATTAAAGCGTAGCACTAATTTGTAAGCGAGTATAAATCACGGCAGCGGCTAAGCAGAGTACAGCAGACGTCAGCATCCGCGCAAGATAGAAGAAGGAAGACGGAGAGTGCGCTGAGAGGCGAAAGAAAGAGTCGCGATAACGAGTGTCTCGTCGCGAGCGGAAAATAAGACACGCTCTTCCCAGTTGGACACATCGGATTATTGGGTCGAGAGAATCTACGAGAGGCGAGCGCGCGGAGGGTGGATCGTTAAAACTGCAAGCTCTCCCAATTCCGCCCCTAGCATCCACACCATTTTACCCCCCCTGCATTTTCAATTATTCTGTTATATTTTCAAGACGTCGCGAAGTAGACCGGCTGGGTAGCGTGCTCGAGAAGAGGAAGTTACGGCACGATTCTTGCCGAAGTACTTTGCCGTGCCTCTTGAGAGTTCAATGAGCGATCGATGTGTAGAGGGAAGTCATTGCAACTTACTAACGTTCATACGTTTCATACCGACATTTGTACTCTCTTTTCGATCATTTTAGCGAAATTGAACGATTTCAATTTCTCTAAATCTAAAAATGAAATGAATAGTTTGATGTATAAACAGACGACACAAGAGTGTAATGACAATTTTTAGTCTTTGATAAAATTATGTGTTTTTTTTATTTTTATCAATAAATAATAAGTAAAATTGATAAAGAACCAAATATAAACCAAAGATACAACATCTGGTTAAAATAAACAGTAAAAGTTGAATGGAAAAGAATTATTATTTTAACGTCAGGTAATGCAATCAAGAATTCTTGGAATCTCTTTATAATCATATTATTGCGTTTCTTAGATGTAATATATATTTCTGAGAATATCTTGATGTAATTTATTACTCCAGCAGTAAAAGATTCGCTTTTCATTATTTTTCTTTTTATGTTCATAAATCGATTTTAACTTTAAAAGAAAGCTAGAAAGAAAGCTGCATTTAAAAGGCATTTAATCTTTACAACAATGGAATTTTGTTGATACAAATCCATAAAATTTCATTCATAAAAAATTTTGGCAGACCGCAAAAGGATTCCAAAATTTTGCATAAATGTAAAAAAGTTCAGTGTAAATATGTAACTATTTTTTTTTACTGTAACTAAAAAAATGATTTTTCTAAAACCATATTTTAACCGCAACGAAAAGTTGTTACAAATTCGTGTTGTATTACTTCGCATGTAGGTATTCAAAGTTTCAAACTCTTTTTTATTTGTGGAATTTGCGAGTTGCGGAACTTTTCTCGTGAGCGGAATTCGATAGATCGTGAAATTTCGACTTAAAAATCGAAGTTGCGGAATTTTAAATTTTGTGAATTACGGCTTCCCTTGTCGGATCGGGTTGGCAGGTCCGCGAGGAGGATCGAGAATGACGGGAGAAGTCGAGGACTGTTGTCCGATAACGAAGACGACCTCCTCGAGACGTTTCCTTCCTCGGGCCGGATGAATAAACTCGGGACTAATTACCGCGATAAGTGCAGAACGAGCCCCGGCACGCTTCGTTGTTCCACGAAGGAACTTGGTAATATTAACGAGTGGCTGCACGCTCGATGCTTCAATCGCAGGAATGCCTGAAATATCCCTTCGCAGTTTCTGCGAGATAATATGTATGCTTAGCGCACTTGTGCGTCGGCTGGGCGGAACACGGCCTTTATTACCTAGCAGCAATGCATAATTAAAATAGAATAGATGGTATTCGAAGCATTCCGACTTTGAGATGAATACCGCTTTCCGAGATGAATACCGCCCTCTGACGTAGGGAGCAGTTGTGATTTAGTCGAGCAGTCACCAATTATTAATCGATTTGTATAAACATGTATTTATTTATGCGCAACCGCGAAAGTTAACGTTCCCTCAAGTAATAATTAATTAATAGTTGCATGGATAAACTTGTATACATAAAATTATCTCTATTTGCATCGCGCGAGGAAAGAGTAATTAAAATCAATCACTTCGAGGCATGAACGTTTGAAACTTCCCTCTAATCATAATTTTATGAGAAAATGTGAAAAGGTGAATGTGGAGGAAAATGTAGGACTTTTAATCGAACTTATTGAAATTTTTAGTTAATTATTTTACACACTGTGTACGGAAGAAAATACATATATGCTTTCGTAAAAAGCAAATTTTGTATATCCCACATAAGCTATACAATTTAGATCAAATTATTTCAAACATATTTTCTCTACATTTTGTAAAGATCTTTGCAAATATGTGGACTGATTCTTACAACAATATTTTGCCGAAAGTATCAAGTGAGAAACGTAAAATATACGTCTTTCACACTCTTGCCTTAAGGAAAAGGTGTAAATATATATTTTAATGTCACTATATTTTCACACGAAGTGCAAATTAAACACGGAGGAGATTTTTATTATTTTTTTCAACGAATAATTGCGACTGCGCCAAACAAATCGCAATTATGGTGATTTTAATGACAACAGCACGTCGACAGTAATGTTGACAGCTGGAAAAAGAACTTGCGCGTGCGACGGAGAGAAAAAAAGAAATTAAAAGAAATAGTAGTCATAAAATAATGGCGCGCCTCGTGTCGCTCGCTGACTGAAATTACCGCGTTACCTGTTTCAGTGTGCAACTGCAACCTCCACGCGAGAAAGTGCAGATTCAACATGGAGCTGTACAAGCTGTCGGGCCGTGTCAGCGGAGGCGTTTGTCTGCAGTGCCGGCATTTTACGTCAGGAAGGCACTGTCATTACTGCCGCGAAGGTTACTACAGAGACCCGGCGAGACCGATCACGCATCGCAAAGCCTGCAAACGTAAGTGCCCCCGGCCGGTAATTACATGTAAATCCAACAAAGACACTCGGCGAGCAATTATGCGCGCCGAATAACCCTGCGCGATTACTCGCGTGTTCGCGGCACGCTTAATTACGAAAGTGTCGTCGAACTTGCCATCGTTTTGCGCTGCGCGATTAGTAAGCGATGATAATAGCGTGTGGGATTTCGAATTCTTTATGCGTCTCGATGTTACGGGCGCGTTAAAACATCAATAACGCAAGACGTTTATCGGGCTAATTAGAGAATGCCGCGGGCCTTTAACGCTTTCTCCATCACGTAAGTCGTGTAAATTGATTCACTTGCGATTTGAAAGCATAATTCTGCGAAAGAGATAATTGAGAAACCTTCAATATTTCTTGCAGGAAAAAAGACATAGATAATATTCATTTTCCTAATAACATATTTCAATAATGAGAATTTTGTATATCACTTTTTTGAAAATTTCTTCAAAGTTTCCGCGGAATTTTCAACATTCGCGCGGAATAACAGCTATATTCAAAGGCACGCGTTATATGCGATGGGAAACTTTATTGTGAATCGAAATGCCGCGCGGCGTTTCGAGTCAGCGCCTTTTCCCAGTCGCGCGACGCTATCGGGATAGACTCGGACGCCATTACCATTCGTCTCAGTCCTTCCTCGGTACTGTTACAAAGTGGTTACCAGCTGAGCAACCCCCTAATCTCGGTGCATTCAATTTATGTACGTTTGTCTAGGCCTGCGGACCGCCGCGGGGATAACGATCTCCCGGTGTGAGAAAGCGCGCGCCGACGCATCGTGAATGCACCGGCGCGCGGTCCATGTAAGTGGGCATCCTTAGCATCGCGCATCCCGTGTACGGGTCGTCCGTAACTGTACGGCGAACCCGTTGTTCGCCGTCGGTTCGCCACGTTGTAAGAATACCGGGTGTTACGGCACGCGCATAATACCGTGATAAATCAGCCATCCGTTCCAAATACAAGCGCGAGAGTCGGTGCCCGGGACGACGCGATGTACGCGATGAACTTTGAAACCCCGCAAAATCACTCATCTTCCCTCCCCCCCCCCCGCCTCCTGCTTGGTTCGGACGTTTACATCGCAGCGCGTTTATATTGCGATTTTTCAACGCTTCCTTCTGCCGTGTACCTTCCGCAGCAACGTTCGCAAAAAATATTGAAATGACTGTTTTCCGTGGATCACCCGGTACTTGCTCGCGCGTACTTGAGCGCTGGATTTTTACAGCGCGCTTCTTCACGACTGCGAAAATTTTCGCAAATTTCTGTTGTAGGTACTTGTACTCGATGTACGAGTTTCGCGCGATTAACTATGTATGTCACTGGGCGGCTGGTGCATATTCTCGAACGTGGACTACTTGTCGCGTTGAATTGCGAGGTTAATTAACTCTTTGCGGTCTGGCACGTTTTTAACAGCAGCCGGCCATTTATATTCGCCGTGAAGACCAGTTATAAAGAAGAAATATACGCTTGAATGTGCAGTAAAAATTTTACTTGAGAGCCACGTCGTTCAAAAATGTCAGACACAATTTTCCACTTGTCAACGAACAGTGTCATGAAATATTTTGTAACTTCTCTGGATATATAAATATAAAAAAACTGTTCTTTTTCTTCTTTTTTAAAATTATATTAATATCATGCTGAAAATAATACTGCTTTGTTATTAACTTTGAATTACGTTGTTTTTGCTGAAAATCGAGTATTTGCATTTTTTTTTAATATCAATTATTATGTTATTATACAAGAGTTCATATAATGTAGACGTATATACAATAATATCCGGATTTCTAAGCGTGCATAATTGTATTTAATCGGTTTAAATTCTGAATCGTGTTTTGGATTAGCGATTCACAGAGCGACGATACGACCCACCTTGTGTTCTAGAAATGTTTCAGGCTCTAGCATATAAAGCACGAGTATCGTGCCGAGGGCCTGCGCGTGCTCTCGCCGCCGAGATAACGAACAGTCTGTATTCTCGTTAGCAGCCATGGCAGCCGTTAAGATAACAACGAGACAGGACACTCACCGCGCGAGCGCTTGCCGTGGAAAGAAGATTTAAGCTCGTCTTAGGACGGCATAAGTTTCATAAATTAATCCTCGGGTTGGGGTGGGGGGAGGGGGAGGAAACCATCGCCATCAGTGTTAGATCGCGTGAGACGACGCGAGCGGGCGGATATAATTCCAATTTGATACGTAATTTAAGTTTGAGCTTTAACCGCGCTCGAAACTTGAGATTACCCTTCTTCCCGTTACGATGATAAATTTAGAAATTAATCTGATGACAGCGCGATTCGACTTTGCTTCGCTGGATACAGTAACAAGTGTATAATGAAGTTGTAGAAGTGAATAATCGATGTATCATGTTTTCATGTCGTAAGAAATTATATTTTATATATGCGATTATATCTTACTTATTTCAAATAGGATAAAAACTAGCTAAGATAAAATTTACTTACTGATTCAAAAAAATAAAATATGTTTTATCAGTCAAAAATTATTTGAAAAATTTGATTTGTTTGACTTGTTACTGTTATTGCAGATGGAAATTTATTTGAATTACGTATTACTATTGTAATGTAGTTTAATTATATATGTAAGAGCTAATAATAAATTCTAATTCATAATGTAATAATTGCATAATGTATTTACTTAATTAGTATAATTGAATTGGATTACTTAATTAAAATAATTTATTACCTAATTACTTAATTAATATATAATAGTAACGGAGCTAGTAAACAGGAAATATACCGTAATTCGAGTTTTACGATAATAAAGCTGTAGATTGTAATTTCGATATAAAAAGTTTCATCTTTAAACGATAGGCGATTTGACATATCTTAACATATCGATGACGTTTTTAGAAAGCTGGTTAGATCTGATTTCAGATTCCCATAATAAGGAGAGAGCAAAATTATGATGTTATCATACAAGTTCGCCGGTTAATATCCCGCAATGAAGATAAGATCTTTCCGAAGGAAAAGCGACTACGATTGTGAATAATTAGTCACGCCTAAACAGATTAATTTAAATTTAAACATCGTGTTAAATAGCACAAGAGCAGTCGCATTTGCATGTCACACCACCCACCGGCTTTAACTTAGATAGTCACGGCTCAATTAAATATTATCACTCTCGAAAAACTATCCTCGCGACATTAAATAATTAAGCCGCGCACGCTTATTAATATCGCCTTAACTTGCGTGCGTGTAAGAAGAGAGCGTACACGAACGGGGCAATATATTCCGAAGCGGCAACACCATTTGTATGGCCGCTTACGCTTGTCGAACATGACTGAATAAAATCGAGAGGTGAAATCGATGCTGTAAACATTTGTAAACGTTACGTGAATCTTACGCGCGCAGAATTACATAGCGGAATAATAATATATTTATCGTATGAATACTGTTGATTGCACCGCGCCGAAAACGCCGAAAACGTCGAAGCGACGACGACGACGACGACGGCAGCGACAATGACGCTCTGGCTTACTTTATAAGATATCCTCGCGCTCCTTTCTCGTCTGCCGCACCCTCCGTTATTACAAGCCCGCACACACGGAAAATGCAGATTTCTGCAATTTGTCGTCCTACCACGTCTCGCAACGTCCCGCTGTTGCACCGTCTCCCCGTGACGGCAGTAATGTTTCCACGGTTAGTGAACTCCGAATTGGTCCTACCGACTACCCTTCCCCCCCCCCTTCCCTTTCCCTCATCTATCCGGGTCTCGGCGAACCCCCTCAATCTCGTGCTCGACATTTTCGCAAGAAAATACAGCCCCGTGTCGACTGCGTACCGTCGGGTCAAAACTGCGCCGCTCGTTTCGTGATTTCCACGGTAACGAATGAGAGCCGCTCTCTCACTCCGTATCTCGTTTTCACTCCTTTTCCGCTTTACTTGTCTGCTCCGTAGTGTCTACCACTTGCCCCCGGTCGTAAGCTCCTTGCCTTTGACCCGTCTCGGAGGATAAAGTCAGTATTTTCCTGAAAGCTGCTTTATACGCACTGCGGTGATTTTATGACTTGTTTGTCTATTAAGAATTCTGTGCACTTTGTGCATGTCATGTATTATGGATAATTTGCCTTTGAGTCTGATTTGTTTATAGAAATTTTTCAACGTTAATTACATTTTTCAGCGTTTGTTATTTTTTTTAATATTTAACTGTAAACTTGGTTAAATTAAATAATATTATTCAAGTGCTTGCTTGGATTATGTATTTTGTTGGCAGCAGGTTAGCGTGTATCAAATTTTTTTTTATTTTAAATTGTTTTAAAATTATATAATTTTCCATATTTTCACCGAAATATTCTTTTCCTGCCGCGAAATAAATAATAAATATCTCTCGCAGTCAAACGTGACCTCTCGACAATTTCTCTTTGTTCCCTTCGACCACGTACAACCTCTTCAACTCCGTTTTATATCTTTGCTACTTTATTTCTCTGTTTTGCCTGGCTATAATTCCTGTGCTTGTTTCGGACCAATGTAGAGTTGTCTTAAAAATTTGTCTCGCTATACTATAAAAGGAACAATAGGACCCGCCTAATATACGCTGTAAGAATTTCATGAATGATTGCCAGCGGCATAGCATACACTTTTTAGAACGAGAATGAATCTATTGAATTTTTACTTTTCTCTTAGTACTACTTTATTTGATTACATAAGAGAAATATTAAAATTATGTAAATAAATAAAACATTGTAATGAAAAATGTCTTTGTATACAAAAAAGTTAAGCTAACAATAGATTTATTAGATATTGTAGTTTTAAAAGTCAAAATATTTTCTTTAAAATTTGTGAAACATCATATCTCATTATATTGCTCATTATAATAAAGATGTATACATGAATAACTTGACAAAAAGCAAAGAGGCAGCACATTAATGATAATAAGAAAGTTTAAATTCTCAATTTAATTTAGAAAAATATTCTGGAAAGTCTTTTTTCCATTGTGCGAATTTAAATGAGAAAATTTTTATTTCTCATTTTTATT